ATCAGTTCATTTTGTTTTATTTTTTCTCTATTTAGATGTGTTCTTACTTGCTTTTTACTGTTAAAGTTATACCAAAAAAGGGATCTAAGAATTTAAAAATCCACAGGATGGAAACCCCATACCATTGAATACCAGTTCAGCAGTACAGCAGTACAAATTTAACCAAACCCAGAACAGAAAGGTAATTTTCAGGTATGCAAAGTGGGTAGCCTATTTCTCCACACCAAATATATGTATGTATGTATGTATGTAAATAATCTAGATTGGGGTATCCATGGTAGAGGTAAAAAAGTCAAGAGGGCAGCGGTGACTGAGACTGCGTGATTGAAGCACACAAGTAAAAAGGGGTGAGGCTTCAATCACACAGGCATTTTGACTTTTTTGACACCCCCTAGAAGTGTCCCTGATCTAGATGCTTATCAGGTCAAACAAAATATACATATATTTTTATATCTTTTCTTAAACTAAAACATTGACAACATGTTAAATCCTGTTAATCCATTGAATATGTTGAGACATGGCTGCAAATGTTTGTATCATTAAATGCTCCTTTGAAAATTCAAATCAGCAGCACATGATTAGCAAAATCTGCAAATATCCAGGAGTGATATCAGACAAATCAAGTATTAGTTTGGCCCTAAGTTTTTAAAAATGCAGTATAATATTGTAATTAATCTGAAAAAAAATGCAAAGCAATATATTAAAAAAACTGTTGAATTAATTTAAACCTGTTAGACGATGTGTACTGATGTTTCAACTGTTCTTTGAAATGATTCTTGTAGAATTACAAAATTTCTGGCTGGATTATCCTTGTTTATTTGTCCATCTACTCAGTTATATTGTTTTTCATTTGATGGCTTTCTATAGAAACATCAGGCTGTAATGTAGCTTATTCTGGATAGGTAACTGCTATTTAAAAAGTGATACCAACCAGAGATAATAATCTAGGACAGGAAACAGTTTTGTGTGTGTGTGCGCGCGTGCGTTACCAGTATGCAAAGCTGTCATTTCCTTATATGTCACTAGAATAAAAGAAAAGGGTGTGGGAAGTGTTTTCTCCCTGGCAGATTTCTACTGTAAGGGCAGCTTCAGTGAAATATGAGAAGGAAGTCAGATGAAGAATGGCCGAGAACCTGGTCAAACAGCTAAGAGACTAGAATAAAGAAAAGACTCAGAAAGCTGAAAAAAGCATCTTAAAGTTGGACCACTTTAATAAAAGTGAGTTTTATCAGCCTATATAGAATGAATGGGAGCCTCATTCAAGGAAGAAATACTGTTAGTTGGCTTTTTACATTGCAGAGTTCTCTTTGATGGGGGGATTAAGTGAAACACAATATCTATCACAGCTGATCTTGAATTATTTTCCTGCAGCACTAGTATAGCTGTTTAGGACCCCTTTTTTCCTTAAAGAATGGAAACATAAATGGGATAAAAAGCTCCTCCTAATATTGTGTGGATGTCCCCCCACCCCCCTGTCTGTTCTTTCCCAGTAGATTAGCTGATACCTCAACAAGAACAATTCCCAGTTCTTGATTCATAACAGATGCATTTTATGGGAGGAAAGGGTACAAGGCTCTGATGGCAGGGCACCCAACAGTTTCTCAGGGCCAAGAACATCTGACTCACCATCATGTGAATGTGTACACACACACACACACACACACACACCATCACTAGGATGCAAAAATATAAAATAACTACCCATGATCACTCAGGAAGGGACAGGAGGATACCTCACTTCAACTGAGAAGTACAACCAGCGAGTGATTGCTAAAGCTGGCTTGAAAAGATGAGGTATGGTTTATCTAGACTGTTTGTACTGCATAAGTGATAAGTCTAAGGTATCTAGTGAAAACTTAAGCTAACTTATCTGGGAACTATGCCTGCTGAACTCAATGGAATTTAGTAGACATGTATAGGATCATGCTGTTGCTAGTGGGTTTTTCAATTAAATGCAATATTATATATATATATAGAGAGAGAGAGAGACAAAATTTCAATGAAATCAAGAGCAGAATAAATGTAATACATTTAATTGAACAGTAAAATATACCAATAATAATAATAATAATTTACTATTACCTAAATTAGCATTAAGTTCCAGAATACTCTTGTATCTTTAGTATCTGTGGCTGTCAAAAGTGAGTGCTAAAGGGTCCTCTGATGTAATATTTTCTTTCTGTCTAGTTTATTCTCCTTTTCTTTTAACAAATCCTGTGATCATAGGGAGAGGCTTTCTTTCACTCTCCTTAATTGTAATGTATTACTAGGGAGCAATATCTTACAAATTAAGTTAGTTTATCCTAGGGCAGAGAGCCAGTTTGGACTAGTTGTTAAGGTGCTGAACTAGGAGCAGGGAGACTGGAGTTCTAATCCTGCCTTAGGGATGAGAGCCAGCTGGGTGACCCTGGGCCAGGCCCTCTCTCTCAGCTCTAGGAAGGAAGCAGCAAGGCCAAACCCCTCCTGAAAAGGCTGCCTAGAAAATTGCATGGAATCATGTCTGACTTGAAGACAAAATAAAAATATTAGGGCTACCTTAGCTGGGCTGCAGAAATTCAAACCACCACTAAGAACAGCAGAGTCTATTGATCATCTAGATTTCTGCAGCATAATTCTGGCAGCCTTGCTGTAAACATTATTCCAGGTCTATATTATAAGTAGATATACACTAGTGTTTCTCAACCTTGGCAACTTTAAGGTGTGTGGACTTCAACTCCTAGAACTCCCCAGCCAGCAAAGTTGGCTTAAGGTTGCCAAGGTTGAGAAACACTGATATACACAATATGGAAGATCAACAATAGAATTGCAATTTACATAAAGGTAGTCTGTATAATCTTATGCATGCTAGCAGTGTAGCCAAGAGTTTTTCCAGAATGACAATTTTGCAGCAATCTCAACTATGTCCAAAGGGGCTAAATAAGTCTGTACAAGGAGGAGAGACGAAATCACAAGAAAGTAGCAACCATGTCTACCTGAGCAAGCTCTGAGGGGCCAGTAACAGTTACTTCGCCAATCTGTTCATTCCAGTAGCATCCAAAATACAACAAAAGTAAATATAAATAGGAATAGGAGGCTCTGCTGAAAGAATTTTTCTGCCTCTCACACTGCCCATCCCATTTGGGCATTATCTTGGGTTGGGCATAAAGAGTAGTTGAATAGGAGGAGAATTCTGATTGGCTACATTCACACCATGTTTGCCCATTATTAGCTTAAATTACTCAGTTAAACGAATTTTCTTGGTTCATATAACACACTATGCAGGTGCTTTTTAGAAATTGTCTTTGTATACTGTATTGAATAAAACAGAACAAGAGAAAAACAGGAAGCAATACAAGAGCAAAAAGTATATACCTAAGGGCTTTTCATATATGTATATTTGTATATAAGGACTTTGGGGTTCTGAAAGTGTTGATAGATAAGTTGGTTTGGGGAGCAGACCTCACCTAAAAGAGCTGATGGCCGAGAGGGACTGTTTGTAGCAATAATGATGCAATTACTCAGTTGGATTCTGTACAGTACAGTACATTTGAGAATCAGAAATAACTTTTTGTGGGACGTCTCTGAAAATCTTCTTAGTTAGCACATATGATTGTGAGACCATCTCACCTACCTGAAACACTAACAGTAAACTTATTCCACACCAGTCAAAACAATGAAGACTGGCTTTGGGGGCCCAATGGGCTCTACATCATCAAGGAAAAGCTCATGATGTCTCATGATACTATAGCAAAAAGGCATTGTTGTGAGCCAGTCATGATGTGTATATGATATTGCATAATTTGTATCATGAATGCATGTGGATTTGTGCAATGACATTATTGTGGCTTGTATCAGATACCTATGCTTGTAGGTACTCCTTCTGCAAACAACCAGAGAAACGTTTTTGCACAGACAAATTCCATTCAGTGTAGAGCTCTAGACGATTCTCCTGGACAGGCCCAAGAAATACAATAACTGTATTTCTCCAACCTATGTACTGCATACTATTTTCACAATTCATACTGAATCTTAAAACAACACGTTGTGTCATTGTTGCATTCTGAAATTTATTTTAACACCTGTGGCAACATTTAGTCAATTTGTCTGAAAAAAAAAACCTAAGCAAGACCGGACCTAGCCAGTACTTAAATGGGAGGCCACGAGGAAACCCCAGGTTAGACTGGAAAGTAAAAAAAAAAGTAAAAAAAGGGCAGCTCCGGGCTACCTCCTGCGTAAAATGCTTTCAATATAGTTTTATTCCTATGCAACCGCACGCAAATGATCTTGTTGGATTAACCCCTGAAGGCTTCATCCGAATCGCGGTTATTAATCCGAAAAGAACTGGATCGCTTGCCTTCGCTCCTCCGCGCCCACCTGCCCAGGAGGGGGAGCAGAGCGGAGCGCCCCGCCGGCAGCCAACCCTCACGGACGCCGGGCCAAGATCCGCCTCCCCGGGACTCCCGGACGGTTCCCCGGCTGGAAGCCTTGCCCATCAGCCGAAAACAGGCGGAGCTGCGCGCGCGGAGCCCGGCCCCTTTACGCGCCGAGGATGCAGCCGAC